GTATGTAGGTATGCCCGAGGCATTATTAGCGCAATATTCTCAAAGTTAAGCGTGAAGCATTAGCGGAATAATGTGAAGTATTATAGAAAACTCTTTCAAAATACCTGCTGTTCTTGGTGTTGTTGTAGCTTTGTCATTTATCAGCTAATAAAGCAACTTTAGTTACACACAAAGCGCTGATAATGTGAACTTTTATATACGAACACAAACACACACATGTGTATGTGGAAATATGCGAGCGTATCATAAAGTCATAGATTAGCGTCACATCATATGGTCTAATACTGAAAATTATAGGCATTAAATGAGCTTGTAAAATCAAATGGGCAGCGTGCGTTATTGTATTGTTGTTTCGAGATTTTAAGCTGTTGTGCGAAGCGCTTTTATTGCAGCAGCTAATAAGCGTTGAAAGCCATTTTTTTAATAAAAAAAATTAGGTTTGGAATATTTTTGGATAATTTTTATTTTTTTTTTTTGCTGGGCAAATTTGATAGATATTCTATGTTTTTAAAATGGTAATTTCATTGTCAACGCTTAATCTACAAACGGTGGCAATTGCTTAACTGAAAAGAAAAATTTTTTTATATATTTTTGTTACTTTTGTATTACAAGTAAAATACAATTGACTATGACAGAGCAACATAAATATTTCAAAAACACAAACAAAATGCTACAAAAAATATTAAAAATTTAAATACTTATGTTGATACGAAGACAGTTACGGACAAACTTTTTTGAAAATAAATATTTTTTTATTGCTTTATATTTCATTTTCGACATTAGGAAAAGAATATATAGTGTGCCTTGAGTACTCTGAGTGTGACAATTATTTACTGTTATTTCCACGGCTTCTTTAAGGGCTGAAGAAAAGTTTTGCATAAAAAATTAGTTTTTGTAAATTATATTTGCATTCTTCAATATTTCTAGTTTGCCTATCTTATTACAAACTAATCAAGTCCCTAATAAGTTAAATATTAGCTGTTTTTAACTCGCTAAACTTTGGCGAATAGAACAAACAACAGATATAAATGCAACTGGTATAAGCTGGTATAAACCGGTATAATCCAATAGAGACGGAATTTCAAGCAAGTCTCACACTTTTAATGAGTTACCTATGTAATTCATTGCATTAGCATAAATCTAGCTGGGTAACTGCGTAATTTTTGTTATAAGCGAGCAGATCATAAATGCAGGAGTGGCGAATCGAATACGGCTATAAAACTTTTGCTTGCTACATATTACCAAAACCCCCAAATAGCCGCTGTTGACAAAAACATTTCATGAATTGTATGATTTATAACAAATAACGTGACATACTTATATATTTACATACATAGGTATATACCATACATATCAAGAGGCTGAGCTAAGCCTTATTACCTAAACGAACTGAATACCCACATGAACTTAACATACATATCTTCTAGTGTCTTACATTCTTTATAATTTTTTTTTCTTTCAATTAAAGTGGCTTTTTGTCGACGTTGTCACATTTAAGCTGTCATCTGATAAGCCACACCGCACAAGCCGCACTTATTTATTTAAATTCTTTTTGGACTCCAGAAACTGAAAACGAACTATTATCTGCCATCAAGCCAAGCATTCTGCGATCGTTTATTTTCTTAGCCCGTTAAGAAAGTATGTGTGTAAGTACGCATGTGTGTGCGTGTGTGGTGTTTACTTAAGCCAGCAAAACAACGCCGTCATCAATGGTATTTGCTGCCTCAAAGGGGTTTTATTTGATTTTATGCTTAACTTTTTTCTACTTTTTTTTCATTTTGTTTGGCCCGAAGGCATTTTTTGTTCGAAGCTGTGCGCTAAGCATGCGCACACACACCCATGCATATACACATACACATATTTATACTTTTTTCTTCATCATCATCTTAAAGTTTTTTTTATTTTATATTTTATTTTCTGTCTTAGCCGCTTTGTTGCAACCTTCAGTTGCGGCACTTACGGCATTTACCCACCGATGTGAAGAAAAAAATAAAATATATATACATATATACAGTACATACACGCATTTAAAAAAATTCCAATGTCCACCAGCCGCTGGCATTTGTGTTTTGAAAATTACAACAAAAAAGAAGAAAAAAAGCGCAACAACAACAAAAAACCGACAAATAAAGGTCTAGCATCAGTGTGATACTCGTGGCTTAGGCTGTGGCAGTGTTGGCGGCCATTAGCCAGCAACCAGCAGCCATCGGCCATCATTTGAACAGCCACGATGAGCTCACATTTTCAGCTGAGGCTGCTAGTGAGGAGGAGGTTAATAATTTCACAAAATTGCAGAACAGTTATTTTCCAAAATTCTTCTTTAAAGAAAAAACCATTTTCCATAAATAAATAAAAAAAAGTTTGTAACATCCAGAAATTTTAAACTAAAATATATAACTAAAATCAGCCGAAATGTAATAAATCAAGTGCTGTCTCTTGTCACGTCTCACTAGTAATGCTCAGCTTCCAATTTTATCAATTCATCAGCTGTTGTAGGACTTCGCTTCTGTCATTTATGACAGATAACTACTTATTGCTTTGATGGCACAATACTACTCCGAATTGTGTTTAGGTGACTAAAATACGTCCAACGACATGAGAACGGACCTGTCACTTGTCATGATCAATAAAAAAAAATTTCTCAGCGGTCATGAATTGCCGGAGAGAAGTAAATTTGACTTTTGAGTTTAAAAGCCATTTAGAAATGATAGGATTTTTTGACAGTGCTAATTTTTGACATTATATATGAAAAAAATGGTTCGGAGACTATATCCAAGTGATGGAAATATATATATACTCACGGATTCGTTTATTGGAAACTATATAAGACAAAAAGATTTCACATGATATTATATTAAATGGATTCATAAATAAATAAATATAAATCCCAATAAATATCTTTGTCAGCTTTGTAAATTTCTTATTTTCCCCCTTTGAATGACTCTATTACCTTTACCAGCATCATAAACCCTATTTCTTTGTGAGCTCGAACCTCTTCAAAAGACTTTGATTATAGCTAAGACAATCATCATTAGATTAACGACGAAAATTTTAGAAAGCGCTTATACCAGCCTTCAAGTAAGTCTCATTAAATAACTTTTGTTACATTCCCGAAAGACTCGCTTCTATTTTCCTCCTCAAAAGGGTATTTATTATTTGATTACTTCAATTTCACATATGTGGCTACGTGCGATGCGTGAGAGTTTCAATGAAATGAATGGCTATTTGTTTTACGAACTCTCTATCTGCATTCACTATGTCACTGTCCGTTTGTCTGTCTGACTATTTAGACGGCTTTACGACGTACGGCCAATTGTGCTGTTTGTTTATTTTGTTTGTTGCAAAGATGCAAATGCAGTTACAGTTGCGAATGTAATACAGGAGGAATTTTGTAGCGTGTCTTTTGGTCTTACCGATCTGAGGACAATGCAACGGTTTCAGCAAAACTTTTTTGTCTAAGGTTTTAGAGAAAATAATACCTCTTCTTTACATCTTATTGTTCCAAAGACCTTAGAAAATCATAGCCTTTCAATCTGAGATACTTAAACAAGTTCGTACTTAATCCAAATGAAAGAGTTTAAGAGCTCTTATTTGCACTACAGTTGGGTCTTCGTAACTGAAAAGTAACCGAGTTTATACCCTCCAAAAAACTATTGGGAGTTAGCAGTCTGAATTTAAGAACGACCCGAGGACTATTATAGACTAAAAATTATGAAGGGTGTGCTATTTCAAATCGAGGAACGACTATCAGCCTACAAAATATTTAAAAAGTGAGCAGATCTATCATATCTGTCAAAATTCATAAAAGTTATTGACATTTACAAGTGTATAAAATCAAATCAATGACTTCGTTGAGACGAAACAGACTTCTCAGTTAATAAGATAAAAAGAAAATTAAAGAATTTCCAACAGGGTATGCACCTAAGTAAGAACAATCTTTTTCGTATAAGAATCAATATGTGCGCTTGAAACGCTGCTGGTGGTAATTTGATAACAATCGAAGGCATTATTAACATCATTACGGATAGTGCGAATCAAAGTGGATGAGAAATAGTGAATATTAAAGCTTTTATGACTGATAAAGAGAGAAAGTTGTAGTAAGGATCCTTATGGGGGACACAATGAGCAGCTGATTATAAAGCTGTCGTGTTAGTTTTGCTGCTGCTGTGCGGCAACAATCTGCGTTCGATTAGCTCCGCGCAAATTGTGGTTTGATTGAGGTCAATGAATGTGAGAAGATGCATGGCTTATAAAGCGGACTTAAGGGGAGGCGGCGCGAGTTTTTACAAAGATTTTTGTGAAGCGAATTTTGTTTACAAAGTCTGATGCTATAAAAAAATAATATTAAAAAAGAAATTTTTCGGTAAGAAATTGCCAAGTTGGTGTTGACTTCCTGAAATATGGGAAATTGTATTAAACTCACAAGCAACGTATCTCTTGCACAGTCAGCAAGAATTGCAAAATTATTTAATGACTGTCGCGCCTCTGTCGCTGCTACTTGTCAGCTACTCTTTAACCGCGCATTGCATTGAGGCGCGTTAGTCGTGCACTGCACGCCAGCTTAGCAGTTCTAGTAAGCAACTGACGTTGCGTTAGTAACGCTTAACGCGCTGTCCAAATTCAGCTGACTACTGCATATAGTGTTTGCGATGTGTCTAGCATGTTTATCAAAGTCATAAACACCAGCTTATCGCTGCTGTGCTGGAAAGGAATTATTTTAGTCGTTTCTGCTTGAAAGTAATAAAAATAACAATCAGCATTTTATTGCGCCATCATTTAGATAAATATTAGAGAGACGTCTATTTTACCACCGCTGTGTCAATAAAGTCATATATATAGTATAGGTACGTTTTTATATATTTGGAGACGCGCGGAAATCCCGCAGAACAAACACGCCGCTTATCTACTGCATTGAACGCTTACCGTTATTAGAATTAAATATTTTTTCTACAACTCCAAAAATAATACTCATATTAATTATTCGGTTTTTTCCATTACAGTAATAACTTTGCGATGTCAATGACGCGACGGTGAGCGCCACAAGGTTAACAATACGCGCCAACCACTAGTGCTAACTGAAAAATGCCTACCGAAAATACAATGTTAGAGGAGCGTCCGGGCGGCGGTGCCATGACTATGACGCGTCCCAGCCGCCTAGAACAATTCTTGCAAGCGCCTGGCGCTGGCGGCGTGTCGGAGCAACGTAGCGCGTCTAACGGGCGTGTTCCGGGCGGCGCTGTTGCAGCTGCTGCAGCTGCGGCTGCTTATGAAACACAACTCGCTTATCAACATCATTTGGTGGCGGCTGGTTTAATAGGCGCTGGCGGTGGCGCGGCAAATGCGCAAGCGGCGCATTCTGCCTTCGTGCCAGTGCTGCCATCACGTAACGCAATGCGCGCGCCAGGCGCCGCCGCCATTTATGGTGGCATGCTGGACGCGGAGGTGGCCAAGGAGGCGAGTAAACGTCATGGTAGTAATACAAATTTTGAGATCATCTCTATGATGGCGGATAAACGCAAAGAGTTGGCTTTGCGCGAGGCTGCTGCGGCGGCGATGTTGATGCAACGACCACCTGGACAGGGCCCACCACCGGGTGTGCCTACTGCTGTTATGTATCCACCACCACCATATTTGGGCGGACCGGGGCCATCACCAACTGGCGCCGGTACATTCGCCTTTCCATCGGCAGCCGCAACGGCAGCGTTGTTTCCCGCTGGGCTGCCACCAACTATGCACGCTGGTTTGGATCGTCGTTTGTTGCGTGCACCGGGACGCGCATCACGTCCGAAGAAACAGTTTATTTGCAAATTTTGTAATCGTCAGTTCACCAAGTCCTATAATCTGCTCATACACGAGCGCACGCATACCGATGAGCGACCGTATTCGTGTGACATATGCGGCAAGGCGTTTCGCCGGCAGGATCATTTGCGCGATCACAGGTGAGTTGGCACATTTTTTATACGCAGCTTTTCTTACAGTATTATTATTATTACCTTTTGCCTTGCGCATCCATCATAAACTGTCAACCGCACAAAACGCGCGCTGTACGTGATTGTCTTGCAAACGACAATGCAATCAAATTACTTTCGCATACAAAGAACGAGACATGTAAACAAAAAATAACACAACCCTGAATGCTCATTAAGCGCAATGCGGTTAGCGCGCGCAGTGTGCAACGGCAAGGGCAAACCGCAAGCCCTACGCAACCACAGCCTGTGCGCAGTCACTGCCAAACCACAAGTCAGTGCGTTTAAGCGACGTAAAAAAATGCGAAAAAAGAATTGAAAAATTACCAGCTAGCAGCGGCATTTATCTTACGAACACACAACTAGCAATCAGCCTGCGCGCAAGCGCTACAGTGCGACATGTTGTGTTTTCCACGCGCAGAACCTGTTTTCAGCTCGAGCATAATTTTTTCGTTTGTTTGCCCTGCCATTAGACTGTCGGTTGCCGCTTGGACTATTTGGCAAGCAATCACGGCGACAAGCCAGCCATTTTAAGGTGGCTGATGTATAGCGATTTGCGGCGTTGCTGGCTGATGTGTTGACTTAAGCCATGGCCATTGCTGCCGGCCGTTGAAGTGATTCTATTTGTATAGTAAGCGAATCTGCTAGTTTTTAGAACTGCCGCGCGTCATCTGCCAGAAAATAACATTAATCATTCTGTAGCTGTATTATTTGCTAAAACTACACATCTTTTCTGAGAAATAAGTAATTATGCTGTTTTTAAGCTCATACGCTTTCACGCGTGCAAAATATTATAGTTCAGAAAGTAGATTTTTGAATATGTGATTAGTATTTGTTGGAAGTGAGTTAAGAAAGCTATATATCCCATTTATTGAGCTGCTCGGCTTTGTTTACTACACAGTTAGGTCAAGCCAAACAAATCTAAGAACTCGAAATAAAAAATTTAAAATCAACAAGGACCGACGAAAAAGCTGCAAACGCCACTTTTTTATAATTTTTACCAAAACTATTCCTGTCTAGAACTTAAAAGCTTTGTAATGATGGTGTTTAAAACTAGGCTCTCTGAAAGACTACAGGAATGACCAATCTATGATCTCAAAGTGAGATAGTACATTCAGAAGTAAAAAGCTTCTGGTTCTGCTGAGCTTCATAGGTACCTACCATATGTCGGAAAGAGATAAACCGTAAGAGTTTGATTAGTAAGGTTTAACCCCCTTTTCGATTGAAAACTTCTGACGTATTTGCCGAAAACAACGCTAATCGACTTGACTGACATGAATAATAGTTGTACGTCCTAAGGGCCGACAATTTGGTTATATAAAAACATCGACAGGTTTTAGATCTCAGAATCAATACTCAAGGGTCAAGACAAAATTTATATATGCTTATACCAGACTGAGATCTTTGGAAGAGATCTAAAGTTTGGACATATTTTATCAAAGTTGCAGTCATCACATGCTGGTGAGAGATGGTCTTCGCGTTCAGGATACCACTACTGTTATACAAAACTCAATCTTAAAGATTGTGAAAACTGTGAATTAAGCAATGCAGCGATGACCAAACGATGGTAAACCTTTTCACAAGAGACAAAAGACTCTGACATAACCAAAAATCAATCAATCGGTCAATCAAAAATATCGTTATGTTTTCTACATGAGTGAATTCAGGGTATACGAATCAGGAGACTTAACATAAAAGTTCTACTTCAATGAAACTTTGACCGATACCCGATACCTGAAATTTTGTGGATGAAGTAGTCCCGCGATGGAGGGAAAAAAAAGGTTCACTAGAATCTTAGCTTGTATTCAAAAAAAATAGGCACGTTGCCAAGAGCAAGCTAACAATACCTTATATATTTGGTGTAAGGTACTCATTTTAGTAATCTACTGAGCTTCGTTCTAAAACTCATCTATTGTAATTAGTGTAAGCGTCTGCACAGTGCCGCCCCCAAGCATACACAACGCCAGCTTAATTAGCACCGCCACTAAGAACACAAAGAAGATATTCAACACAATCGTTAAAAGCTGGACGCTTTCGCATTTCCAACTATTTTACATATTCTCTGCATTCCTTTCATGCCCGCCGCTATTAATAGTATTCATGCTCTAGGCAAATTAATAAAAAACTTAATTTTTTCTCTCTCATTTCCACAGGTACATACACTCCAAGGAGAAGCCATTCAAATGTACCGAATGCGGCAAGGGCTTCTGCCAATCGCGCACACTCGCCGTCCACAAGATTCTACACATGGAAGAGTCGCCGCACAAATGTCCCGTCTGCAGTCGCAGCTTCAATCAGCGCTCTAATTTGAAAACGCACCTGCTCACCCACACCGATCACAAGCCGTACGAGTGTTCATCCTGTGGCAAAGTATTTCGACGTAATTGCGATCTGCGACGTCATGCGCTCACACATGCGGTCGGTGACGGGCCGTCTGAGTACGTGGATGTGGGCGAAGAAGATGAAGGCCGACACTTGAGTGGTGATGAAGAGGACACACTACTGGAAGTGGATTCACCGCGTCAATCGCCAATACATCGCTTACATAGCGGTACGCCAACACAAGAGCTCGTCGGAGCTGGGAATGTAGAGAAGTCTAGCGGAGAGGCACGTGCAGCAGCGCGTATGCGTCTCAAACGTAAGGCATGCTATGATGCAGCCGAGATTTCTGATGAATCAGAAGAAGAGTTAGATGAGGATGATGAGTTGGATGAAGCCGAGCTGGAGGATGAGGCGGAGTTGGGCGAAGATGAGGAGGAAGAAGAAACAACGCAAAATATGCCAAAAGTTGGTTTACTGGAACCGCGGCCAACTGGGCAGGGTGTGACACATTGCCATCACGAAGGCGGTGAAATGTATACTATGCGTCCGACGCATGAAACGCGCGACTTACATGATCCAACGCACGGTAGTGATTCGCCGCACACTTTTAACGTACCGCCAACCGGTTCCGCTTTCATGCCGTCCTCGCCGAGTGCACGTTACAATCCGATGCGCGCGCTACCCGGCGCTGGTGAATCCATACATTCGCCTTCAACATCTAATGGGCCCGAACCGTACATACCTATGTTACATGTACGTAGAGATCTCCATCCAAAAGCGTTACTATTAAGTGCCGGCGAAATGAAAGGTGCAAATATAATGCCACCAGGTGTATTGGTTGGCGCATCAGCGATACCCACACCAACACAACAACCACCACCGACAGCGTCAACAATGTCATTGCCAGCAGTGTTGACACAGGCAACACAAGCAAGCGGTATAGCGGCGGCAGCACCACCACCACCACCACCTTTACCACCGCTCTTAGATACAGGCAAGAATTTACAACAACCGCTGCACTCACCGCTCGAATCAATGCCCAGTTTTCTTGGTTCTATACCGATACGCAAGCGCATTGTGGGACTGGAACAAATGGCCGATGCGCAACGCGCCTACAATGCGCACACACAAAACGCCGGTCTCATGGCGCTCAATATGACGCGCTCGCATGCCGCGTTGAAAGCAGCACCACCGCCGCCACACACACTGCTCCCCGGTAAACCATATATATCAGTTAATCAAGCGCCGCTATTATGTGAGTCTAAATCAATGCTAGCTGCCGGCGCTGGCATTGCTGTTGGTAGCGCGCATGCTGACACGACAACGCTGATGAGTAGGGAAGCGGCAGTGGGGATAGCGCCATTAACGAGCGCCAGCAGCAGCGGTGAACGTCACTATCTGTTGCCACCTAATAATGCAGTTAACTTGAATACTCAGGAGACGTTGAGTGGCGTGAGCGTAACGCGCTCATCACTATCACCAGGATCTACGGCGATGACTATGCAACCGCACCAGCAGCAGCAGCAGCAGCAACCAGCGCCACCACCTACGCGTCGCACTGGCTTTAGCATAGAGGATATAATGCGGCGCTGAGGCTGAATTTGCTGCCACGACATTCCTATATTTTACTTTTTACCATACCGCAATGGATTCCTTAAGATTTTTAACATATTTCGCTATAAATTTATGTTTAAATAGTTTATAAAATACATTTAAAATCCTCAAGTGCCTTCTCATATGCTATGTACGTATATTCTAGTGCTTCAAAGCCATGCTATGTATACTTAAGTTATTCACACATAATTTAATTAGTCCTTTCGCTTAGCTTAAGTTGCTTATAGCTGTACTTTTATGCAAATCAATGAGCTTTTTATTTGTAAAATTTCAATTTTTTTCACTTACTATATTAAATATTAAACTATGTACACACACACACATAATAAATATATGTAAAACTAGTTTTAAATATCCTAAGCTACTAGTTTAATATTTCCGTTATTTTTGTATGTATGTATGTATTACACTTGCCGGGCACTTAGTGCTCTTAAATGAGTTACGTATGTATGTTTACATAAAATATTATGATTATGAATAAAAGAATACTTAATAAAATGACAAAAATTAATAAAAATGTATAACGCGTTGAGCAGCGCTTTCTTTTAAAAAATATTATTGAGTAATAATGCAAGTGGATCTTATGTAACTGATTGAGCTGGGTGAAAATTGTACTGGACAGAATATTTTTTAAACAAACATTACACCAACTTATTTACATATATTGGAAACCTTATCTATAATAATTTTGTGCTGCTGCACCCGAAAAGCAGACTACAGTTTTTTGTATAAGGCCTATGGAAAGACATTTGAGTGTAATATTATATTATTTTTTAATTTTAATGTGTTTTATTCTTCAGATTTTTGTGCAAAAATAAAATTTCGGGATTTTATTGTAAATCCTGAAAATGCGGGCTTTTTCGGGGTTTTTAAATTATTTTAATATTGAATGAAGCATCATTTACAAATACTTAAAGTTTTAGTAAAAATGTTTTAAAATATTAAAAAAAAGTACTTGAGCTAACGCGTTCCCAAGGCTAATCACGAAATTTAAAAATTTGTTTTTTTAATATTTCCAAACATATGTAATAAAATTGAATTGTTTTCTTCTCTTAGAGTATTGAAAAAAAGACGCTTTCCTAGTTGCGTGAGATGCACAGCGCAGTTAATATTAAAAATTAAAAAAAAAAATTAATAAAGTTATAAAGTGATATTTTATGAACTGAAAACAATAACAAAATTTAAAAAAAAAAATATATATAAAAAATATAAAAAATTGAATTATCAACATATAATACCATAAAAATTAAAACATTTTAAATTCATATAAAATATTTATTTATGATTCTTCCTAGGTGAATCATAAAAAAAAACGTTTATTTTAAAGATATAAATAATGTTAAGCTAACAAAAAATATACTTCTGTTAAAAAAATGTAAGAAAAATGTAATTGTAAAAATTTAGGTATATAAAATTTATATAAAAAAAATGTAATAAAATATTTAAAAAAAACTTATTTTGATTATCAAAGCATACACGTAGAAATGCATTATATATAAAAATTAATTTAAATATTTAATAAATAAATTTATTAAAATTATTGAAAATAAATAAAAGATGCTGACTTACAATTGTATACAAATATAGTAGTTTGTATGTGTGTACTTAAAAATACGTTTCTTAATGCATTTATAAAAATACTTTATATTAAGCTAAGCATTCCATGTGTCTTCCCCTAAAGTGACTCCTAAGCGTTTCTTTAAATATAATAAATAAATAAATGACAAGAAAACCATTTTCAATGTTAAAAATTAATGTTTTATTATTATTTTTTTAAAGAGAGAGAAATATAGAGGGAGGGAGGAGAGCATTAGACAGAGCACGAGACATGTTGAAAACTATAACATTTTGGATTTTGTTTGGATCTTCTATAACAATAATGGATGGTTTACAAATATAAAGAAAATAAAGCGTTGCCAACTGTTTTAAATTTGTACTCAGTGCAATGAATGTTACAAAACAAGAAAAAACCGTTAACTTCGGTTGCACCGAAGCTATAATACGCTTCACAGATACAAAGGTGCCTTACAATAACTTAATTCCAATCGTTCAGTTTGTACATTGTTGCCTTAAACAATAACTCATGAAATGAAAACGCTTTCCATGCAAGCGTTTTACTCAGAACGTTCAGTTAATATGACAGCTATATGCTATAGTCATCCGATCTATACAATTGCTTCGGAGCTTGCATTATTGCCTAAAATAATAAGTAACGCCAAATTTCGTGAAGATATCTCGTCAAATAAAAAATTTTCCCAAAGAAGTACTTGCTTCCGATTGTTCAGTTCGTATGGCAGCTATAGTGGTCCAATATCGGCCATTCCGACAAATGAGCAGCTTCTTAGTAAGAAAAGGACAGGTGCAGAATTTCAGATCGATAGCTTAAAAACTAAGGGACTAGTTTGCATATATACAGACGGACGGACAGACAAACGGACATGGCTTAATCAGCTCAGCTCATCATGCTGATCATTTACGTATATATTTATATACGGCAGGTTTTTAACATAAAAAATAAAATAGAAAAACTTATCGTTAACTCAGAATCTTACGAAATTTGGAATTTCTATTCTGGAATAGTAAACAGTATAAAATACAATACGTCAATAAGATGGAAATCAAATCGAAAATCAACTATTTTGAATTAACAATTTAAATTTTAAAACATTTGACCGCTGAAATGCTAAGTATTAATCCCGAATTTTCGGATACCGAAATACCGATACCGAGATATCAGATATTGTTAAGCAACAATTTAAATTTAAAATAATTGACCGCTGTAAATGTTAAGTATTAATCCCGAACTTACGGGATCCCGAAATATCAATCGTATTTTATAGTTTTAAATCAATTGACAGTCGAAAAAGGTTTAGTAATAATCCCATATTTCGGGATCCCGAATCACCAATCCCGAGCTATAAGATATTTTTAAGTAGCAATTTAGTTTTAAAACAATTGGCAAACAAAAAAATTTTGGTTTTCATTACGTATTTTCGGGATCCCGTGATATTAAAAAATAAGAATCAATATCAAAAATAATTGTAAATAATTTACACATATTCATATACATACAATACAAATATGTATGTCATGAGTATATATAGTTTTTTTAAATTTGCAAAAAGCCACCACTTAATCACGTACGCAGTTTCATCCAGCACACATTTATTTCTTCTTTTGACTTTACTCACACCCTGTCACACCAAGGCACGTATAATGTCATCAACACAATTAAAGTGAATTTAATAAAATAAAAATCCATCGTGCTTTGACAAAACTTGTGGTTTTTGCGAAAATCACTTGCACATGACGAATGTCAAGCAGTTATATGCAACATACATATATATACGTACATACATATGTACATATTCGAATAGAAACACATAATTGAATTGACAGTCAGTCCTTAAGCCACTTAGTTATTTGTTCATTTATTCACGTTTATCAAAAGGCAAAAAGTATGGTTGAACATTTAGAGTATGGACTTTATTGACGGTTTCTCCCGCACCGCAGCGATGTGCTAGGCGATAGCATCTGCCACATGCAACATCAGCAACTGGCAGCGTACGAGTAATAATCAGCAGCAACAGCAGCATTGAATCAAAGCGACGTGTCATGCATACAATTAGTTGTGGAGTAGCACTTAGCAGTTACACATGTAGATATGTATGTATATATAAATTTATTAATGCATATATGTGCGAGTGTTAGCCTAGGCATTCTTGAAACTCGATGAATAATACCGTTTGTAAGCCACTTACTTCAATATCCCACACTCAAGCAACGAAACTTTATACGAAATAAGCAAAAGTGTATATGTGTATGTGTGTATGTACGCATTAAGTTTATATTTAAATTTTATAAAGAAAAAATTTTATTAAGAAATAATAAGCGATCTGCATATAAAGTGCTTTCTAATGACAAGTACAAGTACAATACTTGGAAGCTCACCGAGACACACACCTATTATAGAGTTTTAATGCTCTTACACATATCATATATGTATTTAGATACATGTATATATAATATGTAAAAATGTATATAAGTATGTGCGTTAAAAATCAATATATTTGAATGATTACACACTTTTATGTAGTAGTGCAGCCGTAAAGTATACGCCACACGTTCCGGTACTTAATCGGGCAAGTACGCGTTGCGGTTAACTCCTTTCCTAGATTTTGCAACTTTCCAGGTAAATTTTTGTACGATTTTTGCAAATTTATGCGCGACCAATGGCTTAAAAATCAAAATAATTGGGCTGGACCGCAAACGCACTCTATTGAGTTATGTGTCAACCGAATTGATAGTAGAAGAAATTAAAATTAACATTGAAAAAAAAATTAAAGTAAATAAGTCGACTATAGAGGATTTCAGCTTGGTATTTCCGTTGTTGGATTTGTAATATCATGACGTCATACTGGCTTAGCAATTGTTTTCGCGCAAACCGTTTGAAAGGTTCAAATAAAGCTATTGTGGTATTTTTTGAACAATTTTTTGGGGATATCTCTCTTCCAAAATGATATATAGAAAAATTTTAGACCAGTTTAAAAACAAAATTTTCTTCCTGATTTGATAACTACCAAAATGATACGTCCGAGTTCACTGCTAATCAATTCCCACAACAGCCGTTTCTGTGGTACCGGAATTTGCTCGGATTTTATACGGTCAGGGGTTGTTATGTGGAAGATTTAACGCTGTTTGCAACTGTTAATTATTTTGCTTTTCAAGTGATCGCCAATTGATAAGTCTCCCTAATGTTCAAGTCCCTAATGTTCAAGTTGTACACGATTGTAGTATATATAGCATGGTTTTTCAGCAGCAAATCGGTATTTCCTTTCGTCTACCTGATGTCCAATAATGTGCTTAGCAGTGTTGAACTGATAGTAGGAAACGTGAGTTCCGAACTACACTGAGTATCTTGACAGTATTTGGAATGGATGTTACATCTCTGAGTCCGATCCATGAGTCTGAGTCCCAAATGATGATCCGGTTAAAGAAACATTCACAAGGTAATTTTGCTGTCTGAAGGTAACGAAGGTACTTGGTACATTTCCAGGTTGTGGAACCTAATGCTAAGCACAATAAATTCGTATAAACTAATCTTGCATAGAACACACACTGTAAGGACTAGAGTTAAAATACTATATACAAAGCTTTACTCGGTATTTATTAGTCTATTAATTATGTGTTAGTAACACCTTGACACTGCACTTGGCTTTAAGTGAGATCACCAAATGTACTCGATACTCCGATTTATAATAAAAGGATACTTAAAAGGAACCTGACATTCAAATAAGTTGATCTTGAAGGTTCAACCTGTCTTGTTTTAAAATAGCTAAGCAAAAGTATGTATTAAAATCAGTATACATTTTCACGAATGTGTCTATATGGATCCCATATAATGCTTAAGCCAGCACTAAGTCTGAGAATGCGTAAACATCTTAGAACTTCTTTAAACGAGTTTAGGTGTGAACTACTTATTTGGTATAGATATTACTGGAGGTAATGAAATCCTGCGCACTTCTCCCGCTAAACTTTCTAACATCCAACCTTCTTTGATTTTAATCGTCAGTTGGATTTCAAAGTATTCTCAATTCCCGATAAAAAATTATTTATGAGTAAAAAGATCTCACAAATAATTTTTTTTCGTTTTGCTTTTCTTTTCTTACTTGACTTAAGTTATTCTACCGCTACACATTTTTTATGTATTGTCTTTCTATACAATCTCAAACAGATCACAAAAAACTATACTAAAATGTGTTGCCTACATTTAGGCGCCAGATTTAGTATTAATTTAAAAGTAACGGAACTTTACCGACGCTATTGTTTTATATAATATTAAGTAAGGAGTTATGACCTTCATCTAACTGAATATTATTGTAATCATATACAAGATTTTTTCTACAGACTGTACTAGTGTTTTTTCAAGTTAGGTCCTTATAAGCTTCTCATTTTATGTAACGAAGGCCTCCTTTCTTTTCTTAAGAATACCAACTGGTACAACATTAAAATCCTTCGGTCTATTTTTGTTGTTGTAGCGGCTACTGAAACCCTGCTGAGTGGTAAGAAAATTAGTGTTTTCGAGGTCATCTAACGGAAGGTACGAGATGTGAACTGTTTAGATAGGGTTGAACCAAAGCAACTCGATATATTAGGTCAAGTAAAAAGTTCGTTCGGTTTTTATCTAAGAGATGGCGTTATTGTTCATAGTACTAGTGTTACGTGTCGCATCATGTCATACTATACGGAGTTGAACGTGTTTATTCGCGCTAAAAGTTTGTCTTTGACAGTTTTTCGATTGATTTACTCAGTTCGTTGTGAGCGCTCGTCAAAGATGGACACCAATAAAGAGAAAATTCGCTATATTTTACAACTTTTCTTC